AATTTCATGCGACGATACTTTTCTCTCCGAAAAGATTACAAGAGAAAGTAGAAACTCTGTCTTGGGCCTGAAAAAAGTTTTTGCTTAGCGAAAATTTGTTTTGGGTTTATGGAGTTTTCAAACCCCACATTTTTGCATGCAAATCAGTTGGAAACAACAAGATTTTTATGGATGTTAGGCTACGGAAAAAATTAGCACTGCTCTGATGCAAAAATTTGTTGGCCGTCCTCCAAACCCGATCTTCGTTACCTTTGGACATCGCTGATCGCATGATAAATTTTTGCGTCCACTGGAAAAATTCTTGAAGGGGCATTGCCCTCTCTTTAATGTTTTTGTGGAAAGGATCGAGGTAACAGTGACAATCATCAAAAATGTATTAGATGTTGTATAGATAAATTTTTGCACCCGCTGGAAAATGTTTTGAAGGGATATTGCCCCCCCCCTGTAATTGTTTTGTGGTTACACCACTAATCGTGATTAAAGGGGATCGTTTGGACAAATCGAATAATTCTGGATTGCCATTTTATATTGTAGTTAACGGTGAAGTCGACTGCCTAGATGGATCGGATGAGGTTTTTCCAGGCGAATGTACGAAATCCAAGGCTAATATTTATGCATGCGAATATATCCGTGGAAAATTCGACTGGTTTGACGATCAGTCGTCTAGTGTTAATTATGTGTGGCATGATATCTGTGACGGAAAAGTAGAACATCAGTTGTACAATGACACTGATGAGTCAGACTGTACGGATTGGTCGTGCAATTCTCTCGCAATGAAATGCGATAGAGAATGGCAGTGTTTGAATGGTACGGATGAACTTTTTTGCAGGCTAGTGAAGGTGTTGCCTGATTGCCAGGATGAATATCATCTATGTATCCGTCCGTTTTCTGGACGTTCAGTATGTTTACCGATGGCTGAAGCTGGAGACGGGTATGTCAATTGTGTAGGTGGTACTGATGAACGTTTCACAAGTGTTTGTCGACATAAAACACCTTTCAACTGTGCCAATAGTTCGATCTGTGTAACTGTAGAGCAACTTTGCAACGGTATACGTGACTGTCCAGAAGGAGACGACGAACAGGCATTATGTCCCTGGCTGCCGGCTAACGTAACGCAATTGGGTAGATGTCGATTGATCGACAATTTCTATTGTCGTAATGGTGAATGTATCAATCGTGCTGTAATGAGTAATGGAATACTTGACTGTCGGGGTGGAGAGGATGAGTGGTTCTGGAAACTCACACCCCTCAAAGGACGCCATATCTCCAAAAAGATCTCTTCAGTAGATCAACACCGTGCATTATTAACATACAGAAAATTCGATCAGGCACCGATCAATCGCAACTGGTTTTGTACTGAAGGATTGTCCGTCGATACACGAGATGGAAATTTTGTATGTGGTTGTCCACCGAGTCATTATGGTAATCGATGTCAATTTCAAAGTGATCGTATACTTGTGACTATACGTCTAGATACATATTTAATTGAACATTTGATTAAACTTGTTGTCTATTTGATTGACGATGAAACCGACCAGATAATCGACTATGATGAAGTTCTATGGTTGCCAATTTCGATCAATATTGTATCTCGCAAATATTTAATCTATTTACGATATAATCAAAATTCAAAACCACGTTATCGAAATCATTCTGTAAGAATAGATGCATTCTTTGTTTCACAAAATACAATCGATTTTCGTACTGCCTGGCTTTTTCTTATCACACCGACAATGCGTCTACTACCATCACAACGTATCACTGCTAAACTATGGTTAGATTCTTTTAAACCCATGTTAACTTGTTCACTTAATTGTGGTCATCATGGAATATGTCGACAATATTTGAATGATATTGATCATCCATATTATTGCCAGTGTGATTCAGGTTGGATAGGTGATCGATGTGAACATTTTCGAAAACATCAATGTGCATCTGGATCATTCAGTATTCGTTCGACGATTTGTGTTTGTCCCTTAACGCGATATGGACCTTCATGTCGTGTTCCATTTGATCCTTGTGAAACAAATTCGACTGATAGGACTACATGTCATAACAATAGTACGTGTCTACCAAATGATCCCCGAGTAGACGACCAAATTGTTTGTCTGTGTCCACTCGGTTTCCATTCAAAACGATGTAACAATCCAACATTGACGACTCATATTACTATCGATCAATCACTGTCATTTGCCGCTGTTCTTATCTACTTTGTTCGTTTTTATAAACGCTTAGACGTTCCGTTGATAAGTCATATAATTAATCTACAGGACTGGATATTGAGCATCCAAAGTACATATTTATTAACGGAATTTATTACAACAATTTATCAACGTTCGGGATGGTTCGAATCTGTGGCTGCCGACTTGAATTATCTTGTATTTGCTCATGTATTCACACATCAACGTGGAAACGCACGACCACGATTATTTTTAATCGGAAAAATTGTTCTACCTCATTATAGTCTGTTTGAAACACTTTCCCGAAATAGAACAAATTTGTTCAAGTTCGATCTTAATTCGTCAATCATTCAGCAATACTGTCCTCATATTGACGAAATCTTCAATGAGACAATTATTAAATCGAATCCATTAAAACGTTTCAAAGTATACAATCGACCGTGTCAATTACCATCGTTAGTCAATTGTTTTTATGATCAAACTTATCTATGTCTTTGCAATCGAGAATATGGTTTTGCTGATTGTTTTATACTTCAGTTTTCACGTGATAAATGTCTTGGAAATAATTTTTGTATGAATTCAGCACAGTGTGTACAAGATGATCCAGAACAAAATCCATTGAAATACATTTGTATTTGTCCACGTTGTTTTCATGGTACTCTTTGTCAATATTCAAGTACTATCTATTCCATTTCACTAGATGCATTACTTCAATCAACATTGAAACGACATGTCGGAATTTTTCAACAATCATCAATAATTATATTCTTTTGCATTTTCGCTTGTCTATTAGTATTTGTTGGTTCTATCAGTAATATTCTTACATTTATTACATTTTGTCAAATAAAAACACGTGAAACAGGTGCAGGAATCTATCTTTTGAATTTGTCTATACTCAATCAACTTAGTTTATCGATTTTTCTTATTCGATTTCTATATTTATTTAGCGATACGATTCAATTATCGTTGTGTATCATATTTGAATATTTTATCAAAGTATGTCCATCTATATGTGACTATTTGAATGCTCTAGTGACTATGGAACGAGCCTATGCTGTCTATAGTGGATGTTCATTCGATAAGAAGCAAAGTCGTCGTGTAGCCATGTATTTAATTCCTCTTGTCGCTCTCATACAATTGATTAATTATCTATATGAACCTTTGAGTCGTATTCTCGTAGAAAGTCCTTACGATAAAACACTGAAATGGTGCGTCGTCTCGTTCACATCAAGACCTTGGCTTCGAACGTACAATTTAATTGTGAATATGATCCATCTATTTTTACCCTTTCTTCTCAATGTTTTTTGTGCTCTATTTATTCTTTTTAAAACATCTCGCATTCGTGCTAGAGTACAACATCAAAATAGAATCACGATTTTGATCAAACAATTTCGAGAACATAAACATTTACTAATTAGTCCTATTGTTTCGATTTCGATGTCAACCCCACGACTTATATTTATCTTAACTATTGCTTGTCTTGATCCGAATTCGTCTCTTAAATATGCTTTTCTTACCGGCTATTTTTTATCATTTGGGCCTCAAATATGTACTTATTTAACTTTTGTTTACGTTTCGTCCTCCTATCAAAAAGAATTAACAAGATTTCTACGGAAAACAATCAGTCGATTACCAGTAATTTACTAAAAAGATACTTTCTCTTAGCACAAGGTGGATATATATTGTATTACTAACACAAAAATCGATCTCAACAGACTTTGTATTTATTCGAGACACAAGCATTCGAACATTTGAACATACATTCTGTAATGAGTTGAAAACAAACGGCGTGTTGACATGTCTGTCACAGTCTGTGGGGCGGAGGGGAGGGAAGTGGATCTAAGTTATATACTTCAACACTCATTTAAAACAGTGTTCCACAAAACAACATGTTCGCATAAAAATTTCAAGGAAAACACAGGTTCTTATGCGTTACGTAGCCTTATGGTAAAAATGGAAATTTTGCTTGACAGTAATTAGGGGTTTTCTATGTTCATAGGTCAGGAATTTCAAATCAGAATTCCACTTGAGATTCTCCAACACTATTGGACCTGTATTCGCAGAAGTACGTCAGCTGCGAATAGAATGGCAGCCTCAAAAGATGCTGAGAGTCTAGAGCGCAGACAAACTCTGCTTGATGATCAACGTTCAAGACAAGCGGCTTCAAGAGACGCCGAAAGTCCAGAACAGACACGGACTCGAATTGACGATCAACGTGCAAGACAAGGTGCTTCTCGAGCAGCTGAGAGTCCAGAGCAGAGACAAACTCGGCTTGGCGACCAACGTGCAAGACAAGCTTCCTCAAGAGACGCCGAGAGCCCAGAGCGGACACGGACTCGAATTGACGATCAACGTGCAAGACAAGCAGTCTCCAGAGCAGTCGAGACTCCGGAGCAGAGATTCCTTGCTTTTCCCATGACCAACTTTACGTGGTGTGTTCAAGAGTCGGAACTGGAAAAAATTTATATATTTTGCTCCTGATGCGAAAACCAGCAACATTGTATATCAAGCAGCTGTGCAATAAAAATTGTTTTTCATTGGACAGTTTTTCTTAAATAAAAGTAGTTTTATAAAGAAAATTGAAAAGAAAAAAGATATTTATGAAAATCTCAAAATATCAAATACTAAAAGTTGAGAAAGAAAGACCCAAGCGTATTGTGCGATATCCCCGATCGGTAATCCATAGAAGACCATAGCGACGTCGTCTTCTCATACGTCAAACATGTACTATCAAATTATCTAGACCGACATCGGGTACTTCCGCTAGTAACTAATAAAGACACAGATTCTAGACGTGAAAATCTATTTAGTTTAAACTGATTAAATTTTTTGTTCTGTCTCATTCAACCATGTCATCACGTTTTGATTACCATCAAACGGCTTAAAATTATTAAGAATAAATGTATCAAAATCTTCATCACCTTTTGTTTGTGCATATAGTGTCTTTTCATTTAAAATATCATTATTTTCCTCTGACTCTTCTTCATCTGATGTTGAATCCTTTCCACATTCGTTAGTTTTATTATTGTTATTGCTTACTGTAGAAGAAGGTTCCTGTTGCTGTTTTTCTTCTTGTGAATCTTTATCTTTATTTACACTTCCAGTCTTGGATGGGATATCTTGTTCTGTTGTAAGATTATTACCCTCAAACATTGTGAACGTATATAATTTGAATGTCTATTTGGCTGATGTGGTGACGGAGTTATTGCTCTTCGTCGTTTATAGTCAAGAAAGCGCTTCGTGTTTACCAATGAGTTATTTTGTGTGATATGCATTTAATTAAATGCATTTAAAAAAATTTTTTGCGTGATAATAGGTAATAGAGTATCAGTTTAAAAAAATGTAGACCTAATTGTCCACCCAGGAGCGCCAAAATGTAGGCTATTTGTCGCTATAAACTCAGCAAATAGGTGCTCCGTCTCTCCGCAAGGGGCGAAGGTGGAAAAAATACTGAGTCCAAAATCCCGGTCTACAAAGGATCCGAACGCTACACTAATCACTCACCACGTTGTTTGAATATTGTTTTGTTTTTTACTTTTATAAGATAAGAAAAACGTACTGTCCCAAATCGTTTTTTATATATACTGAAGAATGTCTACCAGAGCTCTGCGGGATCGGGATAGGAGGACAAATATTTACGGGATCGGGGCCGGGACCGGGATCAAGCGTACGAACGGGTTCGGGATCGGGATTTAAGCTGCTGAACGGGATCGGGATTTTCTTTTTCTAATTTATTGGAAGAGACACATGCTGCATAAATGGTTCTATTATATTTTTTCTATCATATTTTTTTCTACTAGTGTAACGTAAAAAAGAGAAAACATGGACTTCCATACACTCTTCTATTGGTTAGAGAGGCTATATTGAGCTATTTACGTATCTTACTTTTGGTGACCAGCTAGCTTTCAACGAATGCTGAAGTTATCTGCTATTGGTAGCTGTTATTAGCAGATAACTCCTTTCACCGATAAAGTAAACAATTAAACACACAAAAAACTGTCATCCTCACACGACAGTCAATCAGATTCTTTCTGTCAGCCTGTCGTACACGAGCGACATCTGTTTGTATTTTAGCGAAAAAAAAGTTCGGGATTTAACGGGATTGTAATTATGCCTACAGGACGGGACCGGGATAGAGATTGGCGAAAAACATTTTTCGGGATCGGGACCGGGTTTCAATCCTACGGGACGGGATCGGGACGAACTCAATCCCGCAGGGCTCTAATGTCTACTGAAATAGTATACTATGTATGTATATATACGTACAGAAGAATGTGGACTGAAATAATCACACATACAAAAATACAAAGGACAAACCGGACGATAGTCAGTAAGAAAAAGAGAAACCAAAACGTGGCAGACACGAGGCGAGAAACATGATATGTACGCAGGACGACAATAATCTGCACTGTCATTCTTTCGAAAAGCGCTTCAGATACACAAAGAATCTCAAATTCACGATGATCCATTGTTAGCTTCTACATACACTCTCATGGCTGAAGTATATGATTCAATGAGTGACTATCCGACGGCTCTTTCATTCTACGAGAAGACGGTTGAAATTGAACAAAGAATTTTAGGGCCAAATAATCCTTCACTGGCGACAACTTACAATAATACCAGTATCGTGCAAGATCCGATGGGCAACCACTCAACAGCACTTTCGTGCTATGAAAAAGCGCTGGCAATTGAACAAAATTCTGTCTCACCGAATCAACTTTCGCTAGCGACGACCTATTACAATATCGGTGGCGCATATTTATTAATGGAAAACTACCCTGCTGTCGTATCTTCGTATGAAAAAGCGCTTGAGATTCGAGAAAAATATCTTCCATCCGCTCATCCAGATTTGGTTCCCATTTAGAAAATTCGCGAATTGCATTCAAAACACAGGATTTAATATGTCACACACATATATACTCTGTACTGTAATATCCTCAACGACTTTTACATAAAGTTTTTTCGATTCACTACATTCTTTCCTAAAAGCGATCTCAATTTCACGACGATATCTTGAGCTCATTAAATTAAATTAAATGCTGCATAATTCGGGTAAAAATCTATGTCTTAAAATTTTTCTTTTAGTCAAGAGATAAGAGAGTATCTGAAGACATATAGAAGAGACCTACTATTTTGAAGTCACAATCTAGTCACATATAAGACACCTTTTGTCGGCAGACGCATCGCTGAAGTCGCAGTTTTTTAAAGTGTACATCTATACACCCATACATGTATACATTCACATATCTATATATATCTAAATATCTGAAGGTTTGTATAATATGTAAATATCTATACATAGACATATCTATATATCTGAATATTTATTTATCTATATATCTAAATATATGCATGTTTATGCATCTATATAATTTATATAGCTAAATATCTGAAGGTTTGTATAACATATAAATATCTATACAGCTACATATCTATATATCTGAATATTTATTTATCGATATATCTAAATATCAATACATGTAGCTATCTAAATATCTAAAGGTTTGTAAGTATTATAACATGTAAATATCTGTACATCTGCATATCTGTATGTCTATACGTCTATATAGCTATGTATCTTAATATGTAAATGGCTGCCATAGTGAATGTACTCAAGTGTGAGTACTTAAAGTTGTACTCTGCTGAAAAATGTCCCTAGTCCTCACACATTTTTTTAATCGTTGAGTACCCACATGAGTACTAAAGTTTTAGGCCCATATAGATATTAGGTAATTGCAGGTGTTCACAAATCTTGAAAGTATTTATCAAATTAATCTCGTTCAAAGACTATACGAATCGCTTCGATACGAGCGACTGGATTATTAGTCTCAAATTATACGACAGCGGGAACCATTAAATATTTGAATGATACTTTTGATATTGTCATGTTACAATTAATAGAAATTTTGCTAAAATTATCACAATATTCGGATTATCCAAGTAAGAAAATGCTTATAATGGCGTACATATTACAAACATAACACAGTGAAACTTGCAAAAATATTGATCTTTGTAACCAACTCACACTGGCACATGCAGACTATGTAAGATCATATAAAGATCAAATATTAACTATTTACGGAGGACAACGAATGAGATTGTCAGAATTGAAAAAGTTACAACGAAATATTAGTAAAATGATTTCAATTAATTCGTTTTATTGATAACTAGATTTTCATTTGTAATCACATTATTATATACTGAATTAAGTGCAATACACCGTCTACTTTGTCTAGAATCATTTTTTTTCAGTTTTTAAGTTTGTTTAAACACTATATCATAACAGTGTTTCCAACAGGAATTATTAACAAAGTAAACCAATATATTTCCTCTTTTATCCAAACTGAACCATTTCACTTTGCTCTTCTAATTAAAGGAAACAAAGAGACTGCAAAGTTGATAAATAACAATCAAAAACAGAGATGGAACCAAAATACAAAATGTGACGGGATAAAATAACAGATATAATGCAAATTCTGATCTGTTATCATTACGGAACTATATTGAGAAAATGTTTTATTCGTAACGTCTCAACTGAGATACTTGATTAAAATATGTATTGCATCTCAGTTGAGAAATCAATATTTCTGCGAAAATATTCGTTTCTCAACTACGATACATTTCATAAAATATGGACTTCACGAACTTCTCAACTGGCGTGAGATACAATTTTGACACGTGCGTTGAAACGTGCTGTTATACAAGAGTGCAGTGTACTAAGGTCTATTATTCAATAGTTATATAAGTGTGAAACGGTAATAAGACAGATGTCGAAAGAAATGGATTTTGTTTGTAAAGAAACTCGCAAAAGAGGCGTTCCTTCCACATTTTTGTTACCAATATACGAATAAATATGGAGATAAAAGGTGGGTTTGTACAACTGATACTTGTTCTAGTTCAGTTGTTTTAAAAAATGATAAAATAACGTGTTAAGTAGTATCCATGGACATGAAAATACACAACATTTGACCATGTAATGTGGCAATAATTCCTCAGATAGTTATTAGAGATATATCATATACCTAATTTCATTTCATTCACTATTAAATAATAGACCTTAGTACACTGCACTCTTGCATACCAGCACGTTTCAACACACGTGTCAAAATTGTATCTCACGCCAGTTGAGAAATTCGTGAAGTCCATATTTTATAAAATGTATCTTAGTTGAGAAACGAATATTTTCGCAGAAATAATGGTTTATCAACTGAGATACTTGATTAAAATATGCATAGTATCTCAGTTGAGTCCAAACCGTTTTATCGATTCTACGTTCTAACAGCCAGATTCGGATAAGGATCAACCTTATACAGCCTAGTGGATGCGCTGCCTGTATTCTATTGGTATGTTCTTTTATACATACATTAAAATTTATTTCCTATATAATTTATCAGCCTACAGATTTGTAACAATCCAACTTTTTTTACCTGTGAGAGTAATACTGCTCGACTAGTACTATTATACACACACAGGTAAAAGAAAAGCGAATACATTAATCATCTAGTTAGTGAGTGTGCATCAAATTCAATGAGTTATTCTTGAAGTAAAACAGAAACTCGATTAGTTTTTTGTTTTTACCTTAACTGAAAAATAATGACTGACAATTGTAATTATAAAATGTAGAAAAAATTGTAATTTACAAAAACAAATCAAAAAAGAAATTCTATTTTATTAGTTTTCTTCAATCAAACGAAACTCATTAGCAAATACTAATTTTGCTTTTATTGTACACAAATACACGCTTTTACTGTACACAAATACACGATCGTTAAATAATAAAACATATTAGAAGTGAAATTACGAACACTTATAAGTGTTATAAAATATACTATTACTACTCCCTATCTTAAACATTTCATGTCATAGGCGTCAAAATAAAAACATCAGCAGTAACGTCATCAAGAGATATTTATAATTATGACATCAGAATTCCATGTAACTCCACTTACTACTACTACTACAACGTCGTCCATTGCTCAGAAGAAGCCATCGCCGTCACTAACGACGCCTTTAATTGTCGGTGACATTGATGATGCAGTCAAGGTGGTATCCGCATCATCAGCAAAACTGGGATTACATCATCAAGTCAATACATCTGTAGAAGAGACATATCGATTGTTCAACGATGAAAAATCGAAAGTTCATGATATATCAATAAAATTAACAAAACGAAAACAATTACATATTAAACGGTAAGTAGCTAGTAACTTAACTTTAATTGTGATCACCCAGACTACCAGAGGTGTTAGCCGATTAAAAAATGGATAACGGTGGTAGTGCGGAAGATCGGCAAATATCTCTACAGTTACTGCTATGTATTCAGAAAAAAGATAAGTCAAAACGGCTTTTTTGGCTCGTTTAAAAATTTCGTTTACCAAAATAAAATAAAATCCAAATATCTGTTCTGTTCGCTTAACTGAAAGAAAAGGATCTCTAAAACTTTGTTTTCGTTCTTTTTCCTGCCCACACTCCCTTGCCAGACGGACGCACACACACGCGGCACATATCTGTGACTGACAAAAGAGCATTTTCTACCGAAAGATTATTTTCTTATTAAAAATGAGTTTTTGTTGTACAATTACTCTTTCACAGCTAGATATGCAAGTATGCTATCTGTCACTTCACTACACAATAACCATTCTGCACATAGACATACACAGATAGTCTGAGTAACACAAAGAAAAGTTACAGTGACTCGTCTCTGGTACAAGAAAATGGGCTTTGCTAACGCCATTGCAAGATGGTGATTGTCATTACCCAGGCGAAAAAAAATCGTTAGAAACGGCACGAAAAACGCGTTTTCTCTGAAGACGTTAGCGAACAATCGTTAAAAGAGTCGTTTAAACGTGCTTTTTGTCGTTCAAAACTATAGAATAACGCGTTCTTCAACGCGTTTGCTAACGATCGTTGAATTAACCGTTTTTGGCGTTTTTTGTTGAACGCGCTTTCTAACGACGTTAAAATGATCGTTGAAACGCGTTTATTTCATATAAAAACGGCTTTTAACGTGTCGTTTCTAAACGCGTTTACACAAATAAATAAATTCGAAGTTATATCGTTTTTAACGTCGTTGGAAAACGCGATCAACAAAAACGTCAAAAAACGGTTAATTCAACGATCGTTAGCAAACGCGTTGTCAAATGTCAAGAGGATATGGCCGAATCGGAAAAGTGAAAGAATGGTCGGACAAAAGTTGATGGCACAAACCACTGCATCTTCCTTCTGGTTTTGTTTCTGAATCATTTAAAAACGCGTTAATTACCGTTTCCATTGTCGTTCACATTCATGGAAAAACGCGTTCCCTAATGCGAATTTTCGAAAAACGCCTTTTCAAACGAATAGATAAAAGAAAACGCGTTTAAACGACAAAAGAAACGTTGGTTTTGAAACTTTTAAGGCGTTGGTTGGTCATCAAAACACAAAACAAAACGCGTTGTTTTCTCAATTTTTTTAACCCTGATTACTAAGCGACAAAGGTCTATAAACAATAGGTTTTTAAGTCAAAGGTTCCTGTGCAACAATGTCAGCTGCGTATTATTTGTACTTCGATAGTTTTGCATTATGGCAGACTGTGATAATATCATATTCTCATTCTTTTTTGTTCTTTTTACAGCCGTTTTATTAGTGATATAATGTGTGTTATTAGTATATTAAGTATTATATTAATGGTTATTGAAAATGAAATACAATTTTATGTTAGTTCCATTGCTACTGCAGCAAATAGAATTCATAGAGAACCAATTGTAACAATAATATTTAAATCGTGTATAACATTATCCACTGTGATGCTTCTCGGTCTAATTATTTATTATCATCGTATAAACTTAAATATTTATTGTTTAGATCGTTCAACACCAAATAATTGGCGTTTATCATTTAGAGAAAAGCATCTATTAAGTGTTATATTAGAATTATTTATATGTTTAATTCATCCCGTACCTGGCGTTAGTCGTTTTTCAATAAATGAAAACAATGGTGCTACTGGTTCCAAATCTTATTCACCAACTGATGTTCTACTATCATTACCAATATTTTTACGTTGCTATTTAATTTATCGTTGTATTATCTTACATTCAAGTTTAGTAGTAGATGCATCATCACAATCAATTGGTTATTTAAATCGTGTAAAATTTAATGCTGAATTTATTAGTAAATCATATATTAAAGAACGACCAGTATTATTTCTGTTTACTGTTTCAATCATTTGTTTTCTTATTGGCTCATGGTCATTAAGGGCTTGTGAATACAATAATGAGACGGGACATATGAAACTGACAAATGCAATGTATCTATATGTTATTACATTTATTACCATTGGTATGTTGTAAATAAGTATAGTCTATAACGCTGATAATGTTATGATTTTTTCGCGTTGTGCATTTAGTTAAGATCGTCTTTATACGGTTTCTGATTCAGCAAAATAAAGGTTTTCTTATTATAAATTCGCCTTTCTGGAATCACTGCCTTTATTAACATGACACATGAGAACATCGAAAAGCTATAATGACATAAGAATTTCAGAATATAAACTATTATTAGTAAAAAGCATGGACTCAAACGTTTTTTGAATAACGTTTGACAAGAAAGCGATAGAGATTTCCAGCTTTACTAATTGGAAGTCAAGACCTGACTGCATCTTTCCATCATGAAAGTCTTGAATCTAGAAGCTTCTGGGAAAACCAGGCCATTACTGAAAAACTTCAAAAATAAATATTTTGATTTTTTCGTATTGGTAGATAGTTATAAAAAGTGTCCTTTTCAGCATGAGACTCAAGCGGGGCATTGGTTTCCAGTGATCCAAGCGTGGTATTGAATTTCCTTAGAATCCCAGGACTAGTTTTCGGTTACTTAGCGTAGCCGTGAAACTGCATGGAACATGCGTAATCGATCAGGCTGAATCTAGTGGCAATGCTTGTTTTTGAGAAAGAACTCAAAAACCTAATGAAAATCAAGTTTTACAAATATCGGTGTTTCGAGATTGTTTTCAGCTGGTATAAAAAATCTACAATTCACTTAAGAAACATCAGATCAGACTTCAGAAATACTTCAGAAGAACTTCGGAATGCGAAGTATTTAGGCTATTCCACATCCTTTTTATAAGAAATCTACAAAAAAGTTTACGGGAAACCTTATAATTAATAATAATTAATAATTAATAATATAATTCTCCGAAAGAGTTTCAAAAAACCTTTGAACAAAAATATAATTTTCGATTTTTTTGATCGTGTAATCACGCCTGGCAGGCAAAAGTAATAATATCCTGAAGTTCTAAAGTCGATCTGATCTTTTTTAAGTGAATTGTAAATTTTTTAATATTAGCTGAAAACAATCCGGAAAGACTACTTTTGTGAAACTCGATTTTCACTAGTTTTTTAGTTCTTTCCCAAAACATTGTCACTAGATTCAGCGTGATAAATATCGAAAAAATAAAATCCGCTTCAATTTTGAATTTCCGACATCTTAAATTTGTCGAAAAACAATTTATTTTGCTCAAGAAAACTTAATTAAAACTTTCTGTTGACAAAAACAATTGCAAGTCGATCTCTTTCACTGTCTTTTGAGTTATTAAGTCTAGCTACCTACCGCTTTATTTTCGGCACTGTCTTGGTTTACTCTTTCTTATTTGTAGGTTACGGTGATATTACACCCCAAACACATGGTGGAAGAGGTAAATAGTTCTTTTAATACTTTTTCATATAACAGACAGGTTTCTCGTTCTTCTTGTGTTCTTGTTCTTCTTCAGTTATTGTTGTATTAATTGGTCTATCTGGTGTATTTTCAACTGCATTAATCTTTGGTATTATAATACAAAAATTAGAATTAAATCGTAGCCAAACAGCTGTACATAAATTTATAGCATTAATTGGGTTATCTAAAGAACGTAAACATCAATCAGCAAATATTATAAAATTTGCTGTAAAGTTATGGCATTTAAGATATATTCGTCGACGAAGTGATGATCGGAATACTGGTCGGAATACAAATACATTATATCGAAAACTATGGGAATCAATATATTTAGTACGAAAGATTAAACGCGAACAACGTGAATTGAGTGGTAGTGACACAACAACAACAGCACTATTTGACTTATTAAATTTACAAACAATGGCAAATACAACTGCGAAAAGTGTAACAAATAAAGTTTTTTCTATAGAACGAAAAGTCAATGGTATTGAGGAGAAATTAGATAGAATTATTGAACAGATGCATATGCAACAATTAGTAATACAAACTAAAAATTAAACTTTATCTTTAATCGTGGTTTATAAGAAAAAGTTGATGATATTTCTGACATTTGTTCACAGAGCCTATGTAACATAGACATTCTCCAAATTGAAAGTAACCGGTATCAATTCATGTACCATGCTCACTACAATCATTATAACATGTAATTGGTATATCAATATATTTATCTAATGCTTTTAACTTTTTATTAAATAAAAAAGGAATTTCCTAACGAACTTTTCTGCCATCTAAAGCCTTGTATTCTTGTAACATTCTTTCTTTTTCTTCTTTATCAACAGTCCGATCTAAAACTTTATATTTAGAAATCCACATCACCAGACAAAGTTCGTTTTGAGTTGCTGAAAAGCACTTTTTCAGACTGAGTGCATTAGATAACCCTGCAGTTTTTCTATTTCTGGAGAGGAATCCTTCCGAAATTTTAGGAAAAGATTTAGAACAAAATGGCGCAAGAAAGTTTTCATGGGAAAATATTATTAGTCTCAAAAATTTTCATAAACTTTCGGTCAAAACCAAAAGATTTCCTGACTTATCGAGTGTGCTAAATCCGAAAAGCACTTTGTATATGGAATTATACGTGGACATCTTCCGCTTTTTCATGTTTTGGGCTGATATTATACGTGAAATATGGTTTATTCATAAATTTATTCATAAGTAAGCATTTATTATATTAATATATTATAACGCTAAAAACATATAAACAACGTATATAATCATTAGTTTTTTGTATAATACATTGTATAGGTCTCATACATTTATAGATCAATTAAACAAACGTGGCTGACGTCCAAGAACCTGTGTATAACAGTAATTAGTTAATAGCCGTCACCACTCAGAATTATGATTTAACGAATTTACTCTCTGGGCAAAGGGATGAATTTGCGAATTATATTAGAGATTTCATATATAACTGATTGAATTAGTGTTTCTGGATTAATTAGTGTATGTCCTGCTGATAGTGATGGAATTGATAATTTATTATATGTCTCGATCGATCTACAGAAATCAATTGGTTTTACATTATCATTTTCGAAACAGAGCAATACTTGACTAAATTCATTCCACCAATCTGTTGTGTGTTGAACCAACGATAACGCGTAAAGTGATATATAGGACTGTTCAATTACTAAGTTACCAGCCGTAGACAAAATTCAACGCACTTCCTACCTATTCCCTTAGACGAATCTTATAAGGTTCTGACATTTAGGATCCTATTATGATTGTTTAGATTTTACTAGCATCGCCTTTTCTTTTTAGGATCCTAATAAGATTCTACCAGGATCCTAGCTAATCCTACGACTTTCGGGTATCTCATATTTCATTACGATTCTATCAGATTTTGTTAGGATTGCAGAAAACTTAAGCAAAACCCTAGTAGGATTCTGGTAGGATGTGTCTCATGTCAGAAAATTCATAGACCTCCTAGTAGGGAGAAGAAGCATGAGGAGCCTGAAACATTATTCTTCATTAAAATAAAGGCAAAATAGATTTCAATTTAAACTCGAATCTAAAGCATCAATTTTCTGAAGTGATACTCTAACAATTATTTTTTATATAAACTTTATTTATCAATCGAACAACACAGGCAGAAACACAACCGATCGTAATAACGTGCATTATAGGATTCACACCTGTGAACATCAGTTATGATGGAAAAAGAAGAAAAGAAAAAGTGCTCAACAAGTGCGAAAGATTCAGTTTCGACTATAATTTTTTCATATCAATGATTATTGTATTTTTTCCTATGGAAGGCTGAATTAACAGATTGCCTCACATTCTGTTACTGTTTGACTGAAATATATATTTCTCTCTGAACGATTTTGAAAGATAAAAGTACACCTGCCACACGGTGTGCAACGCCAGGCGGACTTTTGCTATAGAAGCATCCGAAAGCCTACGACCACGTTTTCTTTTAATTTCACAAATCCTCTTTCCAATGGTGTGTTTTACGAAGTTCAAAGAGGCTTTCATCTGGGCTCTCCAGAGACCGAGTCTTTGCACTGATTCTGAATATGTCATTTTTATCGAATAAAAACATTTCTGGGCTGAGATAAGTGGAAAATACCTAGAAAACCTAGGGTTTGGAAAATCTACCGTACGGTCCAGGAGTGTTTATGCGTTCACCATAGATACAAGGCATATAGGAGAACATTCTGTAAAAGTTTGAATGAGTTTTTAATTGTGCTGTGGAGAACGCATCCATTATATCGAAAATAGCCGTTCGGAAAACCACTTAAGAAAAACTTTTATTTTCTTATCAACAAACTCTATCCTAAATTACGAATTTTGTTCACTGATATATACTAAACGATGCGGAGATTCAGAATTTACAATGCATTTGCTTACCAGGTTGTTCAGTTCTATGTAAAATTGATTTTTTGTCGATGACGTTCTTTTCAGGCTAATTTTTGAATCGCTGATTTTCCCGTCCTACATAATTTTTGTACTAAAACTTTTTGTGCCATCAGACAGAGCGTCTCTTTTCCAGCACTATTTGAATCGTTGAAAAGTCGACTTTCATTTTTTTACCTAATGTCCGCCTGGATGCACACTGTGTACTATAAGTAAATAAACTTTCATGGAAAAAGTTCGCCCAACTAACATATGTCTATTCAACAGTTGGAACGTGTTGTATGAGAAAAGTTGAACAAGTTAACAGGAACATAAAAGCAAATTGAGAAAATATTTTAACAAGTAATGTTCATTTTCGTTTCACAGACAATTGACAGCGAGTCTATCCATATCATTTTCATTTAAACAAGCCGAATAAGGGAAAATAATATACGGACATATTGTTTTTCAGTCATCGGCACTTTTTTTTATATGACCCTAGACTTACAGTCAAAAAAATACAGAAAGTGCTGAAAATATTTTTTTTTGATCCTTAACAATACTTGCGGACCAAAATTACAAATGTGCTCAACATCACATTTTGAAATGAAAAAATTTATTATTCTTTAGATGTCCTCGTGCTAACACAAGGATTTCTAAAGTCTTTCTAGAATCGAAGTTTCTAAAGAATTTCAAAAATTATTAGCAGAAGTTCGTAGTGTGACTCTGTCCTTTATTACAGATACTTAAAAGAAATGGACGATATACTATATCGATAAAACTATTGTCGTCATATTTGAACAAATGATATATGTTGTAAAAACTTGATCCATATATTTAGCTCGAAGAAAATAATTTATTTTCATTGCAAAATAATCGAGTGTTGGTTCAATTAATTTTGGTACTGTTTTTATAATATGACTCGAATTCATATGATGTATTTTATCAAAGAAAAATGTATTACCCCAACCAGACCAATGTTCAAGTTTTCATAGCATTTTCAATTATAGAACATGCTTTATCTAACAATTCTATAGGATAATTTTCCAATAAATTTATACCAGATAGAAAATAATGTTGACAATAACGGATTTTTAATGCATCACATGTATATTTAATCCATATTTGTCCTAATTAAAGTGATATTGTATTTTCATTATCGGCATTATCGATAAATGTATTTATATTATTCTCTTCACACATCCATAATACAGTGGTTTTTATAAAATAGGATGGTAAATATTGATTATTAATTGTAAGATTTTTATGTAAGTATTTGTAAAGTAAACCATGAGCAACATTATTTAACCCTTGTTCATATTTCGTTCGTGCTTTGGCGATTTCAATTTCATAGACTGAAAAATGGCATCGTCTAAAAATTATGTCATGATAATATTCTCCTTGGAAATCAGAAAAGCATTTAACTCATGTTTTAGAAGGAAGAATAACCCGCCTAAGAACTATCATCACGATGACATACTGACAATAGACTTCTTGGTTTTCTAGTAGTTCGATACTTTCACGGCAATCGTGAGTCGATATTCACACACAGTACCTTTGAAGAATGTCACCGTCAAATTGTACTTTGAAGAAAAACTTTGCCAAGAATATTTCTTCAATAACTCTTTGTGTTACTTTTAGTTGATTCAGTATCATTTATGAACTTTATCAACTAACTTTGAAATTAACCAGAAAAAAAATATTTTTCTATAAAACTATCCAAGAAGTTTGATAGTTAAGAATCTTACGCAAAGATGTTGAATATGATGAATAGAAGCACTCATTCATCTGAGAAGGATTAAACTTTTAGATGTCACACTTTAGGAAAGCTTAATTTTTCCATACTTCGGAGTTAGTAACATGATGCATCAGAACCAGTTTTTAGCAAAAACTGTGAGACCGCACAGAGCTGCTTGTAATCAAACAAATGTTTGTTTTAAGTGTTGAAATCGTATAACAAGTGTCCACCTAAAGCATATTTTTCTGTTCTTGAACATTCTATTTATTAAGGTGCATGCAGTATTTCATTGTTTTATTTTAACAATATTGAAATCAACTTTTTTCTACTTGCTATCATGCCTGATTGTTACATACATCAACCGTACAGTAAATGGAAACAAAAAATTGACTTATAAGTCAGCTGAACCCTTCCACCTCTCTCTCCACAGGCCAGTGGAGTAACTATTTGCAAAACGGGTGCAGAATATAAACACAATGCCAAATCCAACACCTGTCAGGATATTATTTGTAGCCAAATCTTACCACCTATCGTTTGAAAGAAAAAAGAAAAATTTTCTCATTACTTCGTCTCCAAGATGTATGTCATACATAATCGAATTCCATCAGCTCTGCTGGAACTACTATAGGAAGTAAAGGGATGTTTATATAGCATCCTTCCATCATATACATTTCTGCCAAAAAAAAGTACGTATCTCCTAAATCCCATCGAAAACTTCGTCCGCAATCATTCGTTCAGAAAGATTTTCACATGTTTGTAAATTATTTATGTAAAATTTATAATAAACATTTCAACAGTGAAAGATCCGAGAAATGCACATTTTAATGGAAACGTTCTTACCAAATGTGCAGTGATTATAAAAAATCGATCAATTATTCAGTCAGAGAAGTGCTCCTGAAAACGAACTATTGACAAATTTCTACTCAGAACCTATTGCTTATGATCGACTACAAGCATAACCGATGTCGGTTATAAATTGGGTAACTGACAATAACCGGAGGAAAGCAACGAAGAGCATTCCTCAGCATCTCACGCCTCGGAAAGCTCCTCTTTTCCGCTTTGTGCAGTCCTCCTTCCTTCCCGATGAGAGAGATGCCCGTCAAAATGCTACTACTTTCTCAAATACACATATTCGGATTCAGCAGCTCAAAAGGAGTCTAGCCATGTAAGTTCGAGAGTATTTTATCTATTCTAGCGCCTGAGCCAGATCGCGTAAGTCCCTTTATAGTAAGTAATTTTATTTTAGTCCTTGATCTTAAAACTGACTTGGTGATGATGAAAGTTTAAAAGAAACTTTGTCTAGATCATACCGAACAAAGAGAAAAATATAACGTAATGGCCGTTTTGAGACCTCTGTGCTCCAAACCTATGTAGTCTTTTGCATTATACGAGTACTACAGTTACTACCGATAACATTTTCTGTCTGATACTCTTCTCTCGCTTTCCTTCTATACCAAATGCAGATAATAATAGCTAAGTGTTAGCTTTTTCATTCATCCATATCTCGTTTCATTCACAGAGGAATGAATGCATCTTCCCGTTCTCATTAGTATTTGCGCATCAGTCTTTAGTAAGAAACGATCTACCTCATTCGAAATCGGTAGGTGAAAATATAACCGTTCTTTCGACGCGAAAAGAAAATATATTCAAGGACTTTTGTATTGATCTAAAAAATTTAGCAATATTTATCTGTAATAATTATCCATATAAAATTCGGAGAAAAGTGCAAAATATTATATTCTAGAATTTCGAAAGATAGAACTTTTTCCTGGAATAGCTACTGGCACTCCCAGCAAGTGTTTGAGAGTGTTAACAAGGAGCTACTGACACGCAGGATTCTGATTGTATAGTAGCATTTGACGGGCATCTCTCTCATCGGGAAGGAAAGAGGATTGGTGGATAGTGAGAGCGAGTGAAAAAGCGAAAAAACCTATATATAAAAATTGGGATACCAAAAACTTGTAATAAGGTAAAAATGTACAGTAATCAGTGTCATGATGATCACTCAATGGTTAGAATCAGTGGCGAAAAAGTTGAAATTCTGCCCGTAGTTCGCGATGTAATTCGTGTACACACATATTCGGATTCAGCACCTCAAAAGGAGTCTAGCCATGTAAGTTCAAGAGTATTTTATCTATTCT